AAGTATTATCTTTGCCTCACTCAAACGCTGAGTGCGAACGCAAGTTTAGTGAAATTAATAATATAAAAACCAAGCAGAGGAACTGTCTGATCACAAATACTATTAAAGGAAATATGTTAGCTCAGCAAGCCATTCGTCGAAATTCTGAAAACTGCGTCAAATTTAATCCCACTAATGAAATGATTTTAAAGATGAATGCAAAAATTTATCAAAATCATGAGGAAATTATTTTAGAATAACTTACTTATATTATGTACAAATAAATTAATACTGCATCTTATTTTTCTTTTAATATTTAAACAAACTTTTACTGTAATTTTACTGTAATCGAATTTGGAATCTGCTGTATTGTTTTAAGAAACTACTATATTTTTTAGCTGACAACACTGTAATTTTACTTTTGGGATCTGGAAGCACTGTCTTAGACAGACTACATCTACTAGTCGAATGGCAAGCGTAGGAACGAGCGTCACATAATAATTAATATTGATTGTCTTTAGACTTTAAGTTTCTAAGGCTTAAAGTGCTAATACATTTATTTTCTTAATAATAACGACTACGAAATCATTACTATCGACTTTGATTAATTGGCTAATATATAAATAAACTACTATTGCCCGAAGAACGGATGGCCGATAATATATATATTTTTTTTTATGTAAATCGGATTACAATAATTAGAACGCCATTGCCCCGATATAAAAATTCAATTATTTTTTTAACAGTGATAAAGATATAAACCGTTGAATAAAAACAGCTGGCAACGCACTCGCGAGCCCATTGAGAGTATCCATGGGCGGCGGTATCACTCATCAGGTGAGCCTCCAGCCCGTTTGCCCCGTGCTATAAAAAAGTATTAAATGTGACATAACTCAGGGTCGTTGTCGATATTAATTCCTTTTTTAAAAATATATATACTTTTAATTAATGATAATTTTAAGTTTTTTTCAGATATGTTCAACGTTTTTGTTAAATAATCCTCTATATCGCTGGAACTATAACATGAATTCTGCATTTTTCTTAACCAATGATTTAACCCAATATTAAATAATTTTTAACATTTACATTTTAACAAATTTTAAATTTTTGCAATCACAAACACACATTAACAACCGTATTTCAACTCTAATATTCAATGAATAAGACTTAATTTTCTGTTATGCAAACGTGCAACGTGTTGGTTGGATATTGGCTTCATTAGTTCAAACATAATAATAGGGATGGCCAAACGAGTTCAAAAATATCGATCTTTTATTCGATCCGAAACGAACATTATTAAATCGATTCACTATGGGTTCTTTAAAAAACTTATCTCCAAAGAACATAGTTTTAAGTTCCTTTTTGATTTCAATTTTCTAATACTAATCCAAATTTTTTGGTCACATGTTTGATTGTAAGAAGTTAACAATGCGTAGAGGCCATGAGAACTTGGAGAAACTTATCGTGGTCGGTAATACAAAAGATTACGTTCACCGTATCAGTGAATCGATCAAGTAAAAGACTTATTATCCTCAAAACTGTACACTGTTATAAGAGAGGCGCTGGACACAAACCGGTGGAAACAGATTGTCCGCTCCACATGTTCCGGTGTTCCGCTCAGACATGAGCTAACTGTCTAGAGAGAGGGAACAAGTTAACAAACCAAAACACCTGTTTATATCGGAAAATAATATTCGAATCGTATAATAAAATAATATTGATTCACAAAAATATTAAAACAGTGCCTGATGTCGAAGCTTGTTTTTTTTCTGTTACAGGACGCTAGGAAGTTTGTATATAAAACTAATCGAAGAAGAATCTTAATTTTTCTTCTATTGATTATCGATCCTATCGCATCCCTATATAACACTCATAAATACGTTATAACTCACAGTCCGACTTCGGCCAGTGAGAGGGACGCGCATCTATTTATAATTACCTAGAGGATTAATTGTCTCAGGTATGCAATTATAAGATTTGTCACGTAGCGAATGTTGTAAGATAATTTTTAATTTTGTAATGTTTGTCTCATTCTTATCGACCCCAATGATGTTTTAACCTTAATCATAATAACAATATAAACGATTTGGCACTATACAAGAAAATTCAGCGGTATACAGACGTAACACTCTGTAGGAAAAATTCTCTCCGAAACAACTCATTGTTTCACGGGTTTCAAATATTTTTTTAGATTCTGTATAAAATGTGTAGATAAAATGTCATAAGTTTAAACATGCCGTCAGAATGTAGTTCAGAGATGTGTTGAATGCAGAAACTAAATCTATATATATATATAGATTTAGTTATATATATATAAATGTTAGGTTGGTTTGTGTACGCTTTAAAAACTCAAAAAGTTCTGCACCGATTCAGCTGAAATTTTAGTATGATATGTAATCCGCATCAAGGATTGTTTTTATCTATTTATATAGTAATTATAAATGACCTTTTAAACTTAACTTAATTATTATTTCTAAAATATCGACATTGGTAGAAATATAACCTTTTTATTCAATAGATACTTAGCAACATTATAACAATAACGCAATAATGTCGTAAGATAAAAAAAAGGGTGCGTGTACCTTTGTACGCGCGTAAGAAGTTATACTTCTTTGGCTTTCTTTATTTTTTTTTTAAATATAATTAATTAATATTTAACGTTAACAATTTAATAATATTTAATATTTAGTATATTATTGAATTATTAATTAATATTAATAACAATTATTATAATTATTTATTATATTATTCATTCTTTATTTGTTTAAAAGGTAAAGTCCATTATGGTCATTCAAAATTCTTCGCATAGCTGCTAACTTCACGCATATTCTATTTCTTTTTACTTGTAGATTTTCTTATTCCCATCTCGCTCGGGCACGCTATAATCACACTGACAACTTTGTGTCTCAGGCGCATCGTAAAATTTCACTCTCATCAATTTTTCATAACGCGCCTAAAGAATTATAACTCCAAAAACTCATATTGAAATCTACATATTTCGCGTTTATAAGATAAAAGATGCATTTTATTTGTAAATTAGTTGTTTTATTGATAACAACAACAACATAAGCAGTGATCTGTCTTCTGTGTTTGATACACTTCGATTTAGAGTGAATCCATGTCATACTCATCATTTAATTAGACTACTATATGTCAGAAATTGGATACGTCAAACGTATGGAAATCTAAGAAGGTAAGTCTGATTGCACATTAAATCCATTAATATTTAATGGGTTTAAACGATCAGCAATTTCAGTTTTATAGTTAGATTATCATAACTGCATTAAGAAAATAATGATTGTTGGAGATTGAAAATAGTTAAACACGTTTTATTGACTTAATCTATTGTATTGAATAGCAGTAATCATTTGCAAATTAAATTCATCTTTAATTACCGACTTAAATGCAATAACTCTCTAATCGATCTAAATATAATATTATTTGTTTTTTGATTAACTTTATCAAACGTGGTTATTTAATAATATGTAGATATTAATTTGCGTATGTAAAGTTCAATCAATCATAATATAATAATGATGAAATTGATAACTTATGTCGCTATCTGCTTATTGTTAATGTATATAATAAGATTAACGACTGACCCCCAAGGTCGCGCGTTTGAGTCCCGGCTGGGCACCAATTTATAAATATGTGCGCGGAAGGCTATTTGACGGTATGAAGTGTTATTGAGTAATCTGTATAAAACATTAAAATGTGTTTGGGATTAAAATAATTTACCAAAAATTTCATAATTAAAAATGTCCTAAACGAACAATTTCATTTTCAACAGATATATTTACAATATTCTTAATAGAAATAATAATTATTATTATAAGTTGTAAAATCAAAATCTATTTTTTGCCAGGAAAAATAAATGAACCTAATGCTATAATCAGCCTTTATAGCATATATTATGCATGAATGAAAGCTTATATTATTATTATTAATGCTATAATGGTAAGTATAGTAGTAATAGAATTAGGTATATATACAAATATATATTTATCAAATGAAAGCGTATTTAGTGTAAATGGAAAATAACTAAAAGTACATTAAATTAATTTATCTAATAAGACTGAAGATCAAAAGCGTTTTACGATTGTTTCACTGTTTAAACATAATTAAGGGCGACACTGTAGCCGCACATTTCGATGGCACATATTGACGAATGTCTATTACGTAATAATTTATTACCACTCTTTTCGCAGTAATATTATGACGTAGGTGAAACTCAGATATATTATTATTAGATTTATTTGTTTTTAAACTATCGCATTAAACTTTTATAATTATACAGTAGAATTATAGTCTAAACTAAAACTATCTTTATGGTTGTTGCGATCTATTTCAGGAAAGTAAAATTAGGTAAACGAGAATTATTAACATTGTGCACAAAATAATTTCTTTTATAGAAAAATGGTTTCCAAAAATTTTGAAAATAAAATACAGTGGTAGTAATACATCACTTAAGTCAAAAATGAGAAAACAGTCGTAATTGTGCTTCACGACGTTGTTGCCGTGGCAAGCCAATTCTTCGCTGTAATGCGATACTTATTCGTTGAGCGAAGAAACCACCAGCTCTGGAGTCACCGGTGCTATCTACGAGTACTAGCATATTACTACCGCATTTGGGCTTGAACCCCATGGCATCTCTACTCCAAAGATAACAATATCAAATCAGATTAAAAATAACAATGTGTATAGGATCTATAGTAACAAGTAAATGATCAAAAATTGTTTTTAAAATCTTGTCAAATGGCCTATTATTGTTCATATGAAGAAACATCTAAAAACCCGCACTTCTAGCTACAGAAGGCTAATTAAATAAAAGCTTTTAAAGAATCTAATACATACACACGCAATAATAAATTTTCACATAGCGTTAGTTAATTTAAGTAATTTGTAATCGTTTGCATAATTAAAAAGCGGACGTTCGTAATTTTTTTTCAGTAAAAATAGCTTAAATTTTAAATTGAGAAATTCATAAAAAAACTTTTGCAGGTTTTTTTCCGGTATCAACCATGGCTGAAGATTCAAAAGCCAAGGTAGAACGTAAGTACTTTCTTCTTTTTTTTAAATGGCTTGGCAAACGGGCAGGCTGTTCATGAAGTGATGCCGCCTATAGACACCTAGCCAGAGGACTCGCAAATACGTTGTCAGCCTTAAGAATTGCCAAATACCCTAATGATATATCTTATTCTTTTATATACTAAAAGACTATATAGGCAAAGTATGTACCACGGAAAAGCTGTAGTCTAGTCATCTCTTTCCTTCATATTTAGTTTTAAACAAAATTATTATTAATTAGTACCCCAATTGCTTTAAGCGAGTAATTTCTTCCAAAGAACATAGTTGATAAATAAATTCAAATCATAAATTACGTGATATTACATTTAAAGACAAACTTAGCACTTGGAAAGTTCCTTGGAATTTTTTTTCAACAGCAATCATAGTCCGATTACAGATACTATCATATAGTTTTTCGTTATGTTCGCAGTGCGTCGTGTGAGAGGCAAAATAATTTCTACGTCTGTTCACTTGATGGTCTTTTTACATAAATGATTTTTGGATATATGATTCAGAAACGAGACATCGATAGATCTCACTCAAACATGAAAAATATATATGATTTTTTAATAAGTCATTTTGTCATACTCACACTTTGCGGCTTAAGATATGTATTTCGCATTAAGAACATTACAACATTCACTTACATTAGAAAATGTACTAATAAAATAATTACGCTTATTAATTAATTATACTATAAAAGTAAATGAAATACAACAGCGGACAATAAACAGAAGACTGTTACACAACACAAAATAACAAGATAAAGAAACAACAACGTGTAGTACATATAAGAAGAAGTGATTTAACAATTAATAACATACAAACTATACCGTGCCTTACTCATGGCGCACATTGAATAATTATTTTGAGAGTTAATCCTCTTAATAATATTGATTTAGTATATTACACATTGAATACTAAGCAAGCCACAAATATAACATTACTGTGGTAAGTGTATTGTGTTTATCGACAACCATTATCTTGCACAGTAATGAAATTGTATTAAGTGCGCTATCAGCTATCACCCCTTATTGCCTGACATTCTTAGTTCCTTACAATGTCCTCGCCCTACTTTTTAGCCTCATATGAGGCCCGTTAGCCAGAACACACATTATAAAACGAGGCTGTACAGTACAATAGAAGAGTTATCGGATATGATGCGAGATCATCTTGGCTTTGCCATTATGAACGGCTGAATCTTCAATGATTAAGCTGGCACAAAGAGACATTCTTAAAGTGGCCTATCACAAACTGTTTAGATACCCCAAAGTCAAACTCCTTCCTAGAAACAAAAATGTTTCAGTAGCTATACACACACACGCACACATCTAAGAACAGACGTTTTGTATTCCCGACGCCAAAACGAAGGACTGTGTGGGGGGGGGGGAGATTCCATGATACAGTCGTAATACATAAAAGATTTCTAGTTTAGTAAATATCTTTTAAAGTTTCCGAGTTTATCTGTAGCTAGCAAACGATTTTTTTTATCTATCCCTGATATCATATTATGCTTATTTATTTTATCATAGATAACCTAATGTATTTATTTCCAAAACACAATATTTCAATTTTTCGTATACCTTCATAGTAATAATAATAATTATAAAAAAAGAAGTAGCATACCAATTTAGTTCAATAAAAATAACTATCAATAATAAAAAATAGGGGTTGATCGTAGAGGGGTGAAAATTAAAAGTTGTATGTATTTTTGAATGCTATATCATAAAAAATTTAAAAACAAAAAAAAATATCTAAAAATAAAAATATAGGGGTGGACCACTCTTAACATTTAGGGGTTTGAAAGATAGATAGCAGCCGATTCTCAGACTTATGCATAAAAAATGTCATAAGAATGTTTATAAGGTGTTATATGTTTATACGGAGGAGTATGGGAACGAACATTGTGACATGAGAATTTTATATATTAGATGAAACCGAGGTTATATAAAACGGGTACAACCAGTCTTGAAAAAAGAAAGCTTTAAGGATCTATAAACGATCCTTGACCTTTGTACGAATTGCATCTTAACATTTATTGAATACTATTTATAGGCGACAAAATGTTAACAAAAATAAATAAACAAAATTTAATTTAAATGCTCACAATCATCATCCGTATCAAATTCTAAGCTGGTCAGCTAAGGAATGCAAGTCTCCAATACGACCTTCGTAAAATTAATATTATTGAGGGTTTTATATCCTTAATTCTATTATATATAACCTAGGTCATAGTTCTCTAAAGGTTGGCTATCATCGAATTTGCCACAAAAATATGCCAATGTAAAGTCGTTTTATGATATTCGCCTAACCTCGATATTGTTCACTGTTCAAGGTCGGGAAAAATGCGTAATGTGTTAGCTATATAATCTATAAAGCCTGCTTTTTTATTGGTAACCTTTTTGTTAACGAATAGTTAACTGTTTGATATATAGTTATAATAATATAATCAACAAAATTACCATTTGTCACTGTAGAATGATAACCTCGTATGTCAAAAAACCATTTATTTTTTATTTTTAGACTCTTATGTTATTTAACTGGGTTAACCATGAAGTAAAGACTTATTTATGTTATTAATAAATAAGTCCTTTTACCCCATTGATATACAAAAAACCCAAGATGCACACTCAACGTCTAAAAAACGTCCGCAAAAAATGAGCGCAACATTCTAAATTGTGCGCTCATTTCAAATAGTCTCGCGTCGCTCGCGTCTGGGAGCAGTTGTTAAAAATGCCAGTGTTCTGTGAGAAATTTTAAAAATATTACGTCAAGAAGGCTAAAAACGGATGGGATATCGTATTTTCGGTAAGTAAAAAACTTTCTTGATTAGTTTTTGTAGTTTTTATGACTGATTATAACAAGCAATGTGTGATTTTTATTTATTTTTTCTAAAAACTTCATTCAACGCACAAACTTCTATACGGCCAACTTCAATGGCTGCTTGTTCAGTGTTAGAACAACGCATTACAGTCTTCTTTTTATTTTAGTCGCATTATAAAAATGACCCTGTTCTAATAAGTGGAGTCGATTTTTTTTATTTGTGATTTTTTTTTATAAATAAATTTATGTACTTAAAAAGTGATTTGATTTTTGCAAAATAAATACCATCATTATCGTTTTGAACCAAATATTTGAATAAACAATTTTAACAGTTATTATTTGTTCTTTTGATATACCCATAGGCTACCCAAAAACATATTTATGCACAAATAAAAGTATTTTTATGTGTTTAAAACACAATTTAACAAACTCTTAAAATACTAAATAGTAATGTATAATGAAAAAAAAAGGCATGTTCGGCTCCACTCAATACCTTGTCCTACCAACCACGGTCGGTCGTAAAATTTTATTCCTTTGAGTACACTGCGTTGTAATAACAACTTTAAACAATTAGCGTAAAGTTGATTTTGCAATAATATATGCTTGTAACTTATAGAAAGAGACAGAAATAGTGTTTCGGGAGTACGCACAACGGACCAATTACGAGTCTAATTGCGGAGAAAGGAGTCCTACTACTAGTGTTTCGGGACACTTTCGAGCGTTACTTTTATTCGAGACTGTGCATCTTGGGTTTTTTGTATATCAATGTTTTACCCTCTAAAACTACGGACAAAAACACATAATAATATTTCAACGAACGAAATGATTTTTTTTTTCGTTTCCTGTAATGTTTGGTTCTCTGGACATACGAGGTTATCATTCTACAGCGACGCATTGCAATATCATTGGCGCTACAATCCAATATATTTGATGAAATTTGTTTTACAGGCCGGATTCCAGAGTCAGAGTAGAACATAGCCATTTTTACATTGAAAAAACACCTTCAGTATATGTAATGGTTAAAATAATTTGTATGAAAAATAAAATCTTTACAATTTCAAATAAGACGCATTTTGTATTAGCCTGTAATACTTTTAAAATGTATTTCAAGTTGGATGTGACTTACAGGAGTCGCGCTCAGCGCTCTCAACTCTGAGGCTAAGTTTGACTCTGGCACGTCAAAAATGTATTGGATTTCGATGTACCGGCGTGATAGTTCACGCTAAATCTTGATATCGAGCTGTAATCTGAAAATGACCAAAAAACGTATCTTTCATACTACATGTATAAAACAAATTGCTTAATTTACCAACAACTTGTTCAATATTTTGCTTCGAATCGAATTCACAGTAATTAATATCTTTCACTTACAGATAATCCAAAGATCCTATCTGGGCCTGTATTGATTAACTCACCCAATGCGGCCCTTTCAAAGAGTTTGCTGAGTCGTTATCAGAACATAGTATTGTTCAATGAAGGTGATACTAGGCTCATTGCGACCTATGTCTGGATCGACGGGACAGGGGAACACATTAGGTGCAAGGACAGGACACTCAACTTTTATCCTCGAGCTCCTACTGGTTTGTTTTTCTTGCTTTATTTTACACAAGAGATATGGGGCTAGTGCACTTCCTCTTTTAACTATACATCCTTTATTATTTATATACTGTAATATGTTATAAAGTTTTTCTTTCTACCGACTGATATCTTTATAATTATTAATTATATGTGAGGAAGTTGCATGGAGCGCTTCGCCTTATATTCTGATGTCATTTTCACACAAGTATATCCTTTCTATAACATATTTTCATAAGTATCTGATTGTCCTACTTGGACGTGTGACGCTTGACGACAAAAATAAAATAAATAAAGTATTTTATCCCAGTCAGTTACCTATATTAGCATATGAAATTAATTTTACACTTAAACCGTCCACCATTCGATATTTTTTAGTTGAGGGATTTATATGTAAGAATGTTTTAATTTTACATTGTTTATTGAACACCGTTCTTACTTTATTATAAAATATACCTAGTGTGCACTCAGTAGTCTTTTAAATCAACATAGAATTGTCGATTTAATGCAATTGCGGAAGTGATTAATGACTATCCATTAATGAATTAGACTCGTGTTTCGTATGTAATCAAATAAATTAGCCCTTAGAGGTGCGGCTTCGTAATGATTTCACACATATGGTATCTTTCATTACACGACCATTGACTAGTGTTATATCGTAAAGGCTTCCTCGACGTACGGACTATCCGAAACAAATATTTTTCAATTCGTACCATTACATCCTGAGTGCCAGATACTTAGTAAAGTAAATAAAAAGACATACAAAACAACACATATATAAAAACATGTATATTTTCTATATTTGTTCTAATTGTTTCTTTGCGCTTATCCTTATGTTCAAATATATCTTATGTTGTTTTCCAAAACAAAAGAAGTCCACTTCTTGCTCGCCCTATTTAATTTTCATTTCATACTTTTCCCTCAAAGGTTGCCTGTGAATAAGGGTGGTGCTCCCAAATACCAGCTTTCTTCCTTCTGACCAATTCAGCGAAGGTTTTGCCGAATTGTCAATCTCCAACGTATTACTTATCGGCTTGATTCTCTTTCTCTACACAGAGACATTGCATCTCTATGCGTATACCTACTGGAAATTGACACTGAGAATTGTTGGGGTTGATCTCTCCTGCCTCGTTTCAACACCGTACGAGCCGTAATAATTCAAATTTCAGAAGCATCACCTTGATGGCTGGAAGATGGTCCGCTTCACAAGACCATCTTTTACGAACTAGCGAATTGTGGAATCGATTCCCGGTGGGGATCTTCCCTGGGAGATAAGACCTCCCTTTTCAAGGGCGTCCCGTGCGATCGTTTGCCCCCCAATATCCTATTAAAAACAATTATCATATCTACTTATTTTTATATCATATATACTTAACAATTTGACTATTATATACGTATGTTTAGAATTACCAGTATGGAATTTTGACGGAAGCTCCACTGGACAAGCTGATAGAAAAAATGCAGATACTCACTTGGTGCCTCGAACCATCTACAAAGATCCCTTTAGGCAAGAACCGCACATTCTGGTCATGTGTGACACCTATAAATACAATATGGAGCCTACAGGTAATTTTTGGTTGTAAACCTTTTATTAATATTTTTCACCCTTCCATCAACCCTCATTTGTATTATCACACACACAGTAAACATGTCCAATAGGTCGACTACACTTATATTCTTTAACAGAAGTGTAACTTAGAATTAAGAACCCTTAAATAAGTCACGTTAGTTTTTGTTAGTCTGATAATGATAGTTACTCATGTTTTAAACAATTAAAGCCAGTTGACAATTAGCTTAAAAAATTAACATTTATTTGAACATCCCTCCAACAACTGCCACCGAACTTAACTCGGGTGAGAATTATATTATTGCTTCACGGTACTTAATAGAAAATGTAATATTGTGAAACAGAAACAAACCATCGAGTAAACTGCCAAGCTGCGTACGATAAATGCACAAAAGAGGAGCCATGGTTCGGAATTGAACAAGAGTACATTCTTCTGGACGCAGACCTGCGGCCCTTCGGATGGCCTCCTGGCGGCTGCCCACCCCCTCAGGGACCTTACTACTGCGGCGTCGGGGCCAACAAAGTGTTCGCTAGGGATCTCGTTCAAGCGCATTACTTGTAAATATTCAAAACATGTATTATCGTTTATTTGACAAAACTATTCGTGCTTTAAATATCCATTTAACACATAAAACGTTGCTTCGGCAATCGTTATGCAGGTCTAATAGTTAGCCGGGCTTAAAAGGAGTTATAGAGGACTATAAGTTCAAGCTTCCTGCGTCTGTTTTATTATTTTTCATTGTATAATGGCGAGCCTTCCACGTCCTTAATTTTTGGTGGTAACGTATACATGTTTTTTTACTTCCTTTTATAAATATAATTGCCACGTTAGGTCCATTGCACAACCAGAATTCGAATCTAGAATTCTGGTTGTGCAATGGACTGTATAATTCTATACCAGGACGCTGGAGTGTACCATAACTGGTGCTGCTCCGGTGCGGGGGAACTATTCACGCAGTGACTGATCTGGAATACACAGTTGTCGTAGAGGCTTCTCTAGCCTTTATTGCCCTCTTAAGCCATAAAAACCTCTAGGTGCTGCCTTTACGCCGGTATCCCGCTCGCCGGTACCAACGCGGAAGCGATGCCTTCTCAATGGGAGTTCCAAGTGGGACCAGCGATTGGTGTGAAAGCAGCGGACGACCTTTGGATGGCGCGTTTCATACTTCATCGCTTGGCTGAAGAGTTTGGGATTATTGTGTCTTTTGATCCTAAACCTGTTGAGGACTGGAACGGATCTGGAGCGCACGTGAACTTCTCAACAAAGGCTATGCGAGCTGAAAATGGTATTGTGTAAGTATTTAAATCGGCAATGATCAAATGAAAAATGATGAATGAAAAAAAGAGTTTTTTGAGGTTCTCCTGTAGCATTTCTATATTTTTAAGTTGCAATTATTGAAGATCAATTTTTCTTTTAATCTAATCGCTACCTATAAGGCATTATTTTTATTTTATTTGTTTATAAGGAGGACAATCAGATACTACAAAGAGTTTCTCGCACCTCATACTAGATCTGTCCGTTTGCTAATAAGTTGGGATCGCGTATTTTGCTTTTTGTACATTTACAAAACATTATCACATTTATTTTTATAACCATGAGTCCGAAGATGATGTCTGTTGAATTAAAGCGTGAAATATTTTTTTATTAAAAACACTTAACCGAAACAACTGAGGTTGTGTTTTGGGTTCTAGAACGGATTAATGGCATTTCAATTAATTTCAATGGGGAAAATCTTTGAGATACGAGCAAGGTTTCGGAACGAATTGAACTCGTTCGGTACCACTGTAATACAGTGTATTTATTTCTCTGTGGACAAAACCATTGAGTTAGTATAATAGTATCTATCAGCCAAGTGGCCAGGTTAAAGAGGCGTAAATTTCATTTCCAGTGAAATCGAGAAGGCCATAGACAAGCTGTCCAAGGTGCACATGAAGCACATCAAGGTGTACGATCCTCGCGAAGGCAAAGATAACGAGCGCCGTCTCACCGGTCTGCACGAGACCGCCAGTATTAACGACTTCACTTCGGGTAAATTACTTAATAATTGGCCATTAATATTTCAGATGTTCTTTTAGTATCTGTATACCTGTCGCATTATTATAATCTAGGAACACGAATTTAATAAAGTTATTTAGTTTAATTTTATATAACATAATTTACAACAGGTGGTTCGCAAAACTAATTATGGGATTGACAAATCATTATTAATTTCACACTACAGGAGAAATACTGCTTTATTTGGGGGACGAAAATCGCGTTTACGAAAACGCGTTATATGCGTGCCGCGTTATAACTTATAACGCATGTGGCTTTACTGTATTCTGGAAACTATCTCTCGCTCTTGGCGCTGGTTTCTGTTAAAGAATATTTTAGTCTGTAACATAGGGATTAGACAAGATTACAGAACATTTTACTATTATGGACTAAACGTATACGTTTAGTTAATATATGGACTATCCGTCCTTCCTTGATATACATATATATTTTTTATGTATGAATCCTACAAATTTTAAATAAATAAAATTAGAAACGATGTAGATGTTGGGTGACTCTGCATCTTCTACAGCATTTACCATGGAGTTCAGAGGAGTGGTTCGGATTAATACCTGCAGCTGAGCTTCATCATCGGACGTCGAGGCAGAATACGAAATTCCACCCGTATCACCTCGACGTCCGCCGTTCCACAACTGAGCGTTTTTGCCACGCACTGTGTGGAACCAGCTGCCCACTGAAGCATTTGCGAACCAATTCGACTTAGGGTCCTTCAAGAAAAGAGCGTACCGATCGTAAAAAAATCTTCTATCGACTTTTTTTAGAGCGCCCTTGTCTTATTCTTCCACTTGGTCCATTCCAAATAGTTGTATTGAAAGCCCATAATGTAAGGCATCGCCTTTTACTTTATGTATTCTTCTTCATACATTAATTTGTCTAACTTCACAAATTTTCCACCTGAATTTTTCAGGTGTTGCTAACAGGAGTTGCAGCATTAGGATTCCAAGGAAGTGTGCTGAAGAATCGTGCGGCTACCTTGAAGACCGGCGACCCGCTTCCAATTGCGACCCTTACGCAGTCATAGACGCATTGTTACGTACTTGCATTCTCAACGAGTGAGAATAAAAAAATAATCGACATTTGTCGAATTGCTATTGTACTCAGAGACATAGCCGATTAGTTAAATACCAATTTAAAAGTTTCTGGGTAAAAAAATCCTGCTTTAAATCTGATTAAATGTCTTAAGTAACTCTTAATAAGCTTCTCTGTGGCTTTTAATGTGTTTTTTTTACAAAATGCTAGTAGATAAATGTTTAAGTACTCCGAGGCACTCGATCACAATAACTATACATACATGAAATCGAATAGCTAATCAATATATACAGTATACACGCTTGATACTTGATGTATTTTTGAATGGAAAGAACTAAGAAGCGCTCGGTGGGCGTATTTTAAACTAAACGAGTCGAGCTGTCAAAATGACGTCGACGTCTGACATATGTCAGATATAATGTCAATGGTCATAACGAAACTATGGTAAAGTTGTGTGCCATGGCCTCTTTTCTTTTAGTTGTTAGTTAATGTGTTTATTATTTTTATAATGTAACCAATAATCATAACAACCAATAAATAATTAAAATTAAAATAATGTTCTTTTATTGAGCTACAAAAAATTATCGCGTACAGCTGATGGCCGTATAGGGAATACGGCCATCAGCTGTCACCAAAGCATTCTACTTATTAAATATATTAATATATTATGTTTACGCCATACCCAAGCTACAAAGCAATAATATAGACAATAATATACTTCAATCTTTTATCGCCTCATGAGAGGGTTGATTCGTATTGGTCCTCACAGACGTAAGAGAATTAAACGAAATTTTGGAAAGGGAATCGAGGAGGAGTCACATCAGGTTAATACGAAAATCAGCCTATAGTTCATTAAAAACTACTCTTGAAATATTACTGTAATATACTATTAAGAAATTTAATAATTCGACTGTCTCCCCAGTTTAGATCAGTATTTATTACTTTAATAAAGAGAAAGATCCTGATAGACACATAATGTATACATACAAGTTGAAGAAGAAAATACACTATACTTTTGAAAGTAAAAAATATGAATAATTTATAAAATTACTTAAGAATGTTTTAAAGCTTTGAAATCTTTCACTTGTGAAATTGATGTCATATAAACCTTCAAATATTATTTTGTATTCAATGTGATTCATACTAAGTTCTACAAATATCATCGGCCAGATGAAAACTTATGGAAGCGTCATCTACCGGATGTCTTATGTACTGAAATCTTCATGCTTGTTGTGAATTAATGATTGTTCCACTTTATTAATTACCCATATTTTATAAAAAATATTATTGATACCAATTAAAGGTATTAAATTATGATCATGTTTCTTTTTTATTAAGTGCATTTAACCTTAAAATAATATTCTCAATGCAACTTGTATAAACGCCATCTAGCGGATATTGATGTACCTTTGTGCTTGCTAGGGTGAAAATTTATACGGTCTAGTATTCAAAATTTACATTCTAATGGAGCGTTATAATAATTGTTTAATTTTTTATATTAATATACTTATTTTTATAGGTTAATAATTGAATTTAATTATATTATAGAAAAAAAGGAAATTTGAATTTCGTATCCTCAAAGTAGTCGTTTTTTATTAAAGACAACGTCATCTATTAATAAAAGCCAAAAATACGTATTAATTCTACAAAAAGCTACTACTAGACTTAAGTTAACAGAACTACATAAAAGGTGTGACATAGATGGCAACAAACATTTATTCAAACTACTGTAATAACTAATATTATATTTTGTAATAAATGTAGAAAATAACCCTTTTTCAATCATATTGAAAGTATTTTACAGCTAAAGCGCATCTGATGTCGCTTCATTACGTATAATATAGCTCATTATAAAAATAATCACAGATGGCGACATAACCCTACAATCTGAGCTTTTTAAAATATTAACCACGCCACGGTTCCAATGCAATTTTTCTTTAATATACATAATATTTGGAAAATAATTTATCATGTTTTACTTCTAAGTAGCGAATTAAACAGGTGGTCGTGCGATTGAATTTAACGACATTCCATTTTTTATATATTACAGCGTATACGTGCTCATCCGATGAAAGAAATAATCGTGGGCAAATTGGCACGCCCAAATAGACTACTTGCTTATAGGGAAAATTATCCAGATAAAGAAATCGGAGTCCAAGACGAAGGCTTGTACTACTTTTAGCCTATTATTCGACGGAAAATGTATTGTGTATAGTTTCGTCCACCGTGCGTACTTGGTTGGGCACTAAAAGAAAATTACCTCCGTGGCCCCTGCCCACTCGGGTTTGATATTCTGTAACAATAAAGCTATCGGAGCGTTGCCATATACTACTTAAGGCTTCATTTGGCTTCTAAAATACTTATTGGCGTATTAATAATATTGGTTTCGTCTCACTGGGGAAGTGCCTACCCAAAGGTGAAGTTACGAATCAAATTAATGAACTTTGTTTATCATATGCATTACTGGTATTAGCTTAAGTATTGCGTTACCAAAGCCAACTGCGTTTGAACAAAGCGACTTAATAAATTACCCATTCAAACCTAATTTTGAGGAGGTTATAAGTAATATGAGATTACTCGTCATCCTGTTTGGGAGATCATATTTCGCTGAGGATCGTTTGTTGCCAGGCGGTTTTCATTTTATTAACTAGCTGTTACCAGTGACTACGTCCGGAATTACGATCAGCCCATATTATGCAGTGTCCATAAACTGAAAGTATGCACGAGACAAAGGACAAGGTTATAGGCGAAAAGTTTGAAAGGGATTATTTTTTAATATTTTGTGTTTAAATATATTATTCCGATTATTCTTGAAACAATAGTGTTTCAGTTATTTTTACCAAGCCAGCATGTTGACAGTAATGTTAAATATGCCAGTGTCCGTTCTGCCACACTATTTTCCCCAAAATTTTCTATAATAACCCGTGTAAAGGCAAAAAACGCTCACTATAATCTCATATACAAAACAGAATACATAATTCACTAACAACAACCATCCTAGAACTATTCAAATGTGATTATAATTTATAAAAATAGCGCTCCTTTCCGGCTATGGCAGCTCCTAGAAAGTATTGATCCCAGGTTGAGTAAAATATGATTAGGAGATGAAAAATGAGATACTGATTCAATCAAGCATAACATCAAAAGAGAAAAATGTTGTTGTTGGAATTTCAATTTACTGGCAAGCCAATCCTCTTTCTTATTATAAACTCTTATAAGATTTCTAATGCTTATAAAGGCGTTTTCAATTTCGTTTTATGTCTTAAGGTTAAAGGGAAGCCAAAGCAACGTACAACCCAAAGATTATAATTGTTACCGCCTAGGTCAGGTGATTGGAAAGTGAAGTTCGTACGATATGGTCCGATTTTTCGGTTTTTACTATAACTTAAATGAAATAAATCAGTGGCGCTACAACCTCTTTAGGTCTGGGCTTCAGATTTCTGTATCTGTTTCATGATGATTTTTCAATCTAATAAGCAATAGGCGATCTCCCTCCCTCTCTCCTGTGCCGACCCACGCGGTCGACTTTTTGGGTCTAAGACGTGTAGGTTTCTCCACGATATTCCTTCACAGTTCGAGCGAATGTTAAGTTTTACAATATTTTTTAAATAAACTACCATTACAGACTACTCTTTGCTGCAATTATGTATTTTAAATGACATACAAAACAAAGCATACACATAGAAAAAAAACAACACAACATAAAACAGTAAAATAAAATATTTACATAAAGACTAAGTATTTCTTACAGTATAGGAACTGACGTGAAAAAGACCATTTGTCTGTTCACTCAACACACAATTAAAAGCGCCTTTTAATCTATACAGTAATTATTTCCATACATTGTGTCATGAGTGCCATAATAACTAGGGAACGGGCGAGCATTTAAGTAAATGATTAGCTCGTATTTCGTAATGATAGGAATTAAAGTTCGGACAATTACGACAAAATTTTCTTATTGAATTAAGGTCTACGTTGCTGCGTTGTTGAACTAAATTGATTTAAATCTGTGGAAAAAATCTATACTAAATCATTTTCTCGTGTCTGCGTTATCTATACGGTATTGGGTTAATGGCCAATACCGTATAGATAACGAAGAAAATATATATAGATACATCCAGGTCTCTCTATATATTCTCTCTCAGGCATTATCACAGGAGGTAGATGTAAAAATGTAAAAACACCCTACTAAATCATTCGCTCGAAGCTGTAATTGCGTCCATTCGATTTATTAGAACCCCCTAAATATAAAAAAATATTGTCAGACATTTTACTTACTGACTTTAACCGTTTCAGTTTATTGATGTCCGCGGATCTGAGAAAAAGTATTATGGCTAATTAAAATGAATTTCGATCCAAAAAAATTAAATAAAAAACATTCAAAAAATTCAAATGGTCTGCTTTCGGAATATCAGTGGCCTGGGTGTCTGCCTCATTTATGTTTTTTTATAAGCAATATAAACAACAGTCGAAGAGGCACTTTTTTGGCCATACTTTTAGAAAACGCAGCGCTACGATGGTGTAGACTATTTTTCTACGGTTTTTCGCAGAGTTTTTTTTTTACTTACCATCAGGTGAGCCTGCCCGTTTGCCCCCTCATCTATAAAAAAAACTAACACCGCAGGTCTGCCAAGCGTGCATTTCATATTTATATATTTTTAAATAATTATAATTTTTATTTATTAAATTTATAATTTTAAAAGTCCTAGCAAACATCAGCCTTATAGGTAGATACGAGCAAATCATATAGTATACCTGTTTTTTTATATTGATAAGGGTGTCATTTGACAACGCAGCGTTACCATGGTGGCAGACGTGGTGGGACGTATCCCTTATCGTATAATCGTTATTAAAAAATTCTGCCACGTGAGCAAATCAATCAAAAAAAATCAAAAGATATTTTGCTCGCCGGCTCCCTAGCTATAAACTTCTACGTAAAATCCATTTACGTAAAGACAAGTTGGCACGCCATTATTTGTGGCAGAATATGCGAACTTTAGATTGTACCACCATAACATTTTTGTACCATATTCTTGCAAATAAATAATTATTGTTAGAGTCTGGCTAATGAAAGTTGATACTGAAAAAGCGCGGCAAATTTAAAATATATCAGCATGGCAGCCCTAAAGTAAAAAGGAAAGTTGGAACAACTCTCTTTGATACTTTGACATTCATTTTTATTTTACTAGTGGATGCTTGCAATTTTGTCCGCGTTATGAGGAGATTAAAAGTAGCACTAGTAGAGATTAAAAGTAACAAAGTAGCACACGTATATCACTTGTTAACTCTTTATTAACTCCATACCAAACATCACACGGATACGTCACTCCATTGTGGCGTATTAAAGGAACAAACAGGCTATCAAACACTATCATGAGTATCAATATTATCATGAGTTTAAATATTTGTAAATCTATGTGTATGTATCAAAGAAAACAACACCATATATTTTTATACTGTTTTTTGATGTTGTACTTCTTTAGGCGCGTTATGAAAAATTGATGAGAGTGAAATTTTACGATTGCGCGCGCACCTATGACACAAAATTGGCAGTGTGATAAAGCGTGCGCGAGCGAGATGGGAATAAGACAAACTACAAGTAAAAAGAAATAGAATATGCGTGAAGCTAACTTCACGCATATTCTAGCTTAGCAGCTTAACAAGAATTTTGAATGACCATGACAATTGACATCTGACAATGACATTTACCTTTTAAACAAATATAGGAGTTTTAATTATTGTTTAAAATTAATAATTATATACCTAGTTATTTTCATTATACAAAATATTTGTGAAATAATATAAAATATTTGTGAAAAAACTGTGCTAACCTTCCTGAGTGCTTCAATACAATTGAGGTTAACTATCCGTATGTATTATCGAGTATTATTGTTGATTAAAACTGAAACATGAACCATTATTCATTGCTTTTGTTTATTGCGTTTGTTACAGCAACTTTTTAGAAATATTCTACGACCCTATATATCAATAATTGAGAACAAAGATTTAAGCACGAATACTAATAAGGAGAAAATGAAGGCTTGGAGCGATATAACAGAGAAGTAAACATTTTAATAAGTACCTGCATCTCAAAAAAATGACCACATTATTTAATCAAAACATCAGATTTAATCTAGCAAATATAAGGACAAGAGACAAAAAACAATTGATGAATCAGTGGAAGTGCACTAAATTGAATACAAAAAAAGAGTTGTCATCTTATCGCCGTGAAACATCAAAAACTGGAGGTGGAACAAAGCCACCATCACCTTCTCGAGACACAATGGTTTGAAGTAGATTTCAATGAATTTGATTGTGATGGTGTCGAGGTAGGAATGTTAATTATAAATATGATGTATGGTGATGTTCAAGGTTCAACCTTTCAAGCATAGGCATATGCTTACAACATTACTTTATTCCCCTACAGGGTAGTTAGAGATATTGTAATACCTCAAAACATCCATGTTGCACTTGTAGTACCGAAACTCTGTCCTGCCAGAAGTGAGCCCATTCCCACTTATAATGGACAGTGGGTATAATACACCTTAATACCTGAGTGCGAACCACTCACCATGATACTTAAATTAATAGATGTTATTTATATATTTCAGGTTATTACAAATAAAATCATTTTGGAAACAATTGATATCCCAAAAGCAAATAAAGCCAACAATGACAAGGTAATAAATCAGTTTTGACATAACTTGAATACTAAAAAAAGCCAAACAAAGGTGTGCACAACAGTGACAACATAACTTAACAATTTCATTATTTTGTAGGATTAAAGAAAGGTTAAAGAAAATCATGTCGAACTGAACAACAAGAATCCCCAAACAACTCCAAAGAAACCTACAAGGAAGACACCGGTATTATATTTAAATTATCTCTATCTCTAAATAGAATAAAAGAAAGTTGCTATCCAGGTCTGTAGCATGTGCTACAAATTATATTATTAACACATTTATATAATTATATTAATATAAATGTGTTAAAAAATTTATAATATGAATTATACAAAATTTTAAGTTTTGCATGGACAGAGCTTAAATTAATATTCTCTTATTTGTTGCAGAAAGCAAGTAGTTTTGGAGAAGCCTCGTAGATGCACAACCAAGTAATGATTAATTTAAAATTACAAACCGAAATTCTGATGAAGACATATTTAGTCACTTAAAAATAAATAGTATAATGAAATAAAAATGTTTTAAAGATAAATAGTGTTTTATTTGTTTAATGTAAGAGAATAATAATAAATATTTATTTAATTAATTTTTCAAATGTAAACTGAACTTTATTGACTTTAATGACTCCTTTTCCAGTCTTTGATTATTTAATTGTAATTAATTATTTGCATGCAATCAAAAACTATTTTTAATAATGCCAAAGAAGTATAACTTCTTACGCGCGTACATAAGTACACGCACCCTTTTTTTTAATCACTATAATCAAAATCTGAATCTAAAAATTCAACATGGAGTGAATCGTTAGAATCACTGGAGTCGCTGCTGTCTCTTAAATTGATGATGAAGCTTTCTAAATTATTTTCAGTTATATGGTCTCTTCTTTTGTACTTGTCTTTCACATGAATGACATGGTCTCTCCTTCATGATCTGTGACGTGTTCAATTGCTTGTTTTACTTCAGCAGTTCGTGCATTATCCTCAAGACTATCTGTAAAAGAACAATAACATTATCTAAAGTAACTAAAACTAATATGTACTTATTTAAAATAAAAAAATATCAAGACATTTTGACCGTACTAACTTTAGTGTTGTCATATAAAAAGTTTGCAAAAAAATCCAGTATCTACTTTCGTTAGCCAGACTCTATTAATGTATGGAACGAAAACTGACCTAACCTCGAAAAGTCGAGAGGTTAGTATAGTAACGGCGGTCGATGTCGCCTCCTAACGTAATCATCACACACCCTGAGGCCTAGGCACTGGAGCACTGACGGATTGTTTCCTTTTAAATGGCTCCTGTGTAAGAAACAATATCCACAGATTAAACAAAATATTCAAAGTCTATGTTTCATTACAGGCCAGTAATAAAACCTAAAAAGCAAAACCTTATTCAAAACGAAAAATGAAATTTGAATCCGTTCGAACGTGCGTGTCATTCAGTTAAAAAACAACCGGGCATCGATACACATCATCTCCCTATCCAATTCTGTCTCCATCATGACTGAACAGCTGAAGAACGTGTCTGCTATGAACAAGCTGTACATCGGTAATCTGCCGATGGAGGCGGACGAGGCCGCGGTTCGGCAGCTGTTCGCCGAACACAACCTAACTGTTGCCGACATATCCGTAAAACGAGGTGGCTATGCCTTCGTGGACTTCCCTGACCAGTCGGCAGCTGATCGAGCTATTGACAAATTGCATGGTAAGTCAATTCTGTTAAAAGAACTAGTTAACTGGTGGAGTTTCTTAGGTCGGTAGCTCATGCTTGAGCGTCATGGTCAGCAGGGCAGCAGACTGTCCCCATCAGTTTCTGGCTTTCTTATTGCAGTGTAGGATTTTGATGTGTTGTGATGATATGGCCGAAATAGGACGTGTTGTTGACATAGTGCTTAATAAACGTGCCATTCTCAAGTCTGAGTTCGAACCCCGGCAAACACTTAAAAAATAAAATCAGTGGCGCTACAACCTCTTTTCGGTCTTGGCCTCAGATTTCTGAATATGTTTCATGATCATTTTTTAAATCTAATAGGCAGGTCGCCGACTACTTTTTGGGTCTATGACATGTTGGTTTCCTCACGATGTTTTCTTTCACCGTTCGAGCAAATGTTAAATGCGCATATAGAAAGTCCATTGGTGCACAGCCGGGGATCGAACCTACGACCTCAGGTATGAGAGTCACTCACGTTGAAGCCACTAGGCCAACACTGCTTTACTCTCCTGCACACACATGCTTGGTAAAGATTGTTAGACAGAAAGCAATCGGCCTACATTGGTATTATAAGTATTTGTCTCAAGATTTTTTTAAGTCTCAAATTAACTACAAATATAATTTGAATATCATTAATGACCCAAATGTTTCGTGATCAAAATTACATAGTGATACCAAATCACCTCTTGCTTGGCTAAGGCTGTTAGTTCGATTCCCGGCGAAACTATACTTTGGTACATGCGTTTAAAATGGCGTTCGAGAAAGCGTAATTGCTCTGGCTGTAATTTTTATTATAAGAAATGTTGGAGTGCCTATTAAGGCATTCCTATTACAGTAAGGTAATTTTCCTTTGAGAGCAGCTTTGTAAAGAGCCATTTTATTATCATGTATCAAGCACAATTCTGCGCCGTTATATTGATCACAACCTTTAGCGACTTTGCCTAACAACCTCACCTTTTTTCACCGATAATTTAAGGTACGAAGACGCCAATTAGCAACACAATTCAATAGACTAATATAACATCGTGGTATCAATAAATATTTTACTCTTAACGTTTTTGACCTACTTAGTTATAGAAAGAGATAGCAATGGAATTTGTCTGTATAAAAGCATGTTTTTACAACTGTCCAACAGGTTACTCGTACTGCGGACTTCCCCTCATCGTAGAACCATCTGTGGCCAACAAAAAGATGTAAGTAGCCTGAGTAAACGTTTCTTTCTATTAATTTATTATAAATAATAAAACCAGTGACACTGCAATACTTACCCTTATTTCTTTGTGTCGTGATCATTTTGAATAAGCACGTTAAAGCCCAATACCGGGAAATCATTCCCCAAATTCTAAATTCAACCGCACCGAAACTTGGATGTTTTGCTGATTTTCCTTTGAACAGGGGCAAACTGGGAGAATGCTATGTCACCCATGGGCGGCGGTGTAAGAGTCATCTCAATGCCAAATGGCTCGCGAGTGCGTTGCGCGCCTTTAAGGAACAGTTACGTTCTTTTCTGTAGGACCTTCAGTCTAATTGGTTCGGAAATACTTTGTGGCTAGCTGGTTCGCAGCAAAAACTTCTAAGTAACGCTTAGTTTTGGAACCACGGACGTCTAGGTGATACGGATAGAATTTCGTATTCTGTCTCCACTCCGATGATAAAACTTAGCTGCAGGTATTTATCCGAACAACTCTGAATACTCTCCATTTTAAACGGGGTGGAAGATGCAGAGAGACTCATCATCTCTACGCAACGCCAAGGGATCAAGCCGCTCGGAAAGTGACTGGTTGTCGACGATTCGAATACCGCCAGGAGCTGGTAGAGGTGAGGACAGTACTCCATGTGGGACCTAATATGCGCTTTATAACGTTGCAAGCGATGGCCCAGAGTGAAGTAGGTACTGTCTTGCCTTGCTCAACACATCAAGTTTCTTGGAGGCTAGTTTACCCATCCCTTCCATATGACCACAAAACTGAACGTCGTTCGATATGCCAACGGCCAGTATTCCGATACTGACTGTGGCTTTAAGAAGTGTAAAGAGAGGAGTAGCGACACTTGGTGTCGATACGGAACGAGCAAACTTGTCTTGAGGTTTAGTCAACCCACGTAGCAGAGTTTCGACTTCAGACACAAGCTTGTTCTGATGGTGATCGAGAACTACCCGGGCAAGAAGGTCACCAGCCGAGCGACAACGACGAAAGCCATAATGACCATCGTAGATCAGTTGGTGACTTTCTAGATACCTTAGTAGCTGGTTGGTACGAGCTTTTGATTTTTAAATCACCTATCCTAAAGGGTCTGCAAAGCCCTTTTAAGGGATAGAGGAATCAATTAAAGTGCATGATCATTTGCCGCAGTTCAAGAATCTTATCTCAATTCACGTCAGTCACCTTCAGTACGAGTAGTAGCAAATTCAAGGATTTTATAATTTCGGGAATGTCAGTAAAACTACGAGAATGTATATGTTTTTAAGATTAATTTTATATAGTCCTTTCTTTTATAGTAAAATGATTTAAAATAGATTTAACGGGTAGGCGGTTCAATAAAGTGGCATTGCAATTGTGTAACGTGGGAATACGCATGGATTCATTCACGACCCACCACCCACCCCCCACCCATGAAGTCTATACCTATAAGTGTACTAGGCTAGGGGCGTTTCCGTTAAATTTAACCATGACTAGGTTAAAGTTAATCGCAGTAGGTCTGTATGTTGCCTAGATAATGTAGTATCTAAAGAGGAAAATCGATTTGCTCGTTTAGAATAGGTTTTTGGCCGTAAATTAGTAGTTATAATACCCCGGAATATACGAAGGCGGTCCGATAAGTACTAAACCTCACCGACCGATAGCACAACTATCGCAAATTTCAGCCGTATCGGACGCGTAGATTTGTTATGACCGCGTGTGGAAGCGAGCGGATGCCGCTTTCAGAATAATTGAAAAAGAACAATATCGGTCCGTGATTCGTTTCTTGTTCCTGGAAGGGAAATCGCGCATCGAATTCAAAGAGCGATTGGATGCATTTTACGGTGACTCTTCTCCTTCGATGGACACCGGCAAGAATTGGTCAACGTGATCACACGTCGGTTTTTGATGAGCCACGCCCAGGCGAAAACGGCTACCACGGAGGATAACGTGACAAAAATCCACTTGTATTGGCAGACCGCCGATTAAATTGCTCAAGATGTACTGAGCTGCTGAGACAGTAGGCATCTCAAAAGACCGCGTGGGTCATATCCTGCACCAAGTATTGTGCACGAGAAGTCAGCGCGATGGATGCCATTATGCTCACTCCGAAAAACAAGCGCAACCGTTAGACCACTTCAGAGCAGTGTTTGACGACGTTTAAGCGCAATCCATTCTGCGTCATTTTGTGACCATGAACAAAACGTGGATACATTGGTACAGACCAGAGACCAATTAACAGTCAACAACAAGACTGCCGGCCGGAAAGGTGATGGCCACCGTTTTTTGGAAGTAAAAAGGTGTGATCTACATCGACTACCAGCAGAAGGGCAAAACGATCACAGGGCTCTACTATGTCGCATTATTGGGCAGATATATTTGTTTTTTGTATGCTAAGTACTTATCGGACCACACTCGTATGGAACGGAGACGCCCTAAGCTTAAGAAGAAAATCCTGAGAAGAAAATGCTTTCTAAATCTGGCACTCCATTACTGGCTAACACCGTAAAGGAAAACGTTTAGAAACCAGCTGCGTTTGCAAGGCACACAAAAGAATCAATGTGACGCATCACCTATTAAGAGAAATTATCTCATCTGAAATCTGATGCCGATTATAACCCTCACATTTCAGTCTAGACTTATGCGCGGTAACTCCTGTATGACAAAGACGTGTGAGATTTGGTATATTATTTTGAATCTTATATAAATTGGAACTAAATAAAATAAAATAAAAAGAAATATTTTTTATATATTTATATTTTCATTTCAAAAATGATCGTTAATAATCGTTATCCAAATATTTCTTAGCTAGAGCTTCGTAATAAGCTTAGACAATCCTGAATGTTATTGACAAGAATTCGCAGAAGGACGTGTTTATACCTGCGTCCGAATAGCCTATTGTCGAGAAACAATACCGCTCGCCGAATACTCTAGAAAATTTGCGAATACAATGCATTTAAAGTACCACAAATTCCAATAAATATAGAGACGTTTTAATTCGGGTTGCTCAGGCACTATTGATATGAAATATTATTTTTTAGAACGTCCTAGGCAACACTACGACATAAATGCTAAGCACGGCACGGCTCAAAGTCTTTGAGAGATAGATTTAAATCGAATAGCATTTTAGCATTTTGCATATTACCAACAAACATGCACAATGTTGGGGCGATACGATCAACGTTATTTTAGAATGATTTAGTGGAAAAAAACGGCCTAATAATATTCAAATTTATCTATTTCTATGCATATACAATGTTAAAACATGGTAACAATTTAATGCAAGTGGCTAAAAAAATATTTTTTTAGTTGTAAATGTATTCAAGTTTCGCATCCATTCGATCTCCTGTATATCAAAAAAAAACATTTTTTTTTGATTACAATATTTCTAGTTCACATTTCATTTTATAATATTTGCTGATTCGCATAAGGTAAACAAATATTCCACGATACGATAACGATAATGTAAGCTGTAAAAACTACAATATAAAGAGTATATTTATTTGCACCTTGAGAAGTCTGCTGAAATGCGCCAATTTGCGTCAAGGATTGTTTTCTTCAGTTATGCCCTTGTACGTGATAAATAAAGGAAATTTTCCAGAAGCTTTAATAATAATTTAAAATGAAACCTGTATTTTTTTCATGTCTTTATTGCGTTGCTTTTGATGTTATGAAACGTAGCTTCTGAGATCTTTATATTCCCCTTTTCATATAAAAAACCAAATTTTAAATAGAAATAAATCTCGTTGTTTAATACTTTGCATTAACATTTTGGAGTCGTTTTTTTTATAAATATTTATAAACTACTTCAAATGCCTCAGTTAACATGTTTTCAGTGTCAACGCGCCGAATCTTCAGAGCGTGAGTGCTACGCAGCTGAAGGAGACCAGTACTGATTCTTCAACTGTCGGTGGTGCTGGAGGTGGTTGGAGGTAAGTCGTAAGTAGTAGGCAACCTGCGCCAGGTAATCCTTTTAGTAGCGATACCGATCCCAACGTTTTTAATGGAATTTTAATCTTCGGTACAAATAATTTTAAACTGGGGATCGGTAAATCTGTTGGAACCTAGATAGTGGCCAAGAAGAGAGAGAATAAAAAGAAGAAAGAAGACGAAGAATTCTCTAAGTACTAGATGGTTTTTTTAATCTTTTAGACTTCTTCTTTTAGAAGCAAGCTAAAAATTAAGCATATGCTATTCTCAGCTTAGTTTGTGCACTCCACCCCTGTACATCAATGGAGTTCTTTATGGCGATTTTACCCCTAGATTCAGAGTCGTGTATGTGTCTGTGTGTCTCCCGTGTGGAGAACACAGAAGGTTCATCACATAAATAAATATAGATAAGATTATAATATATATATATATGGTTAATACATACTTCTCTATTTAAAGAAGAATAAATCAATAAACAAAATGAATTTCTGCATGTAAATTTTGTAGGAATGTGCAGAATAGTAGTATGTACTTGGGTGGTCTAAATGCATTGGATATTGAGTACATAGTTGACCTGACAGATGTCGGTTCAGAAAACCCTATCGATCTGTGGCACTCCCAGAGTACATAAGCTATTCAAGTCTATTCGATACGATCACTTTGATATCGCATTCGTAAAAGCGAATTGTAAAACTCAAAAGGATTTACTCTTGTTCGGAAAACGTACATATATATATACATATATAAGCATCTTGTTACTGTGTGAGAAATTAATGCATTTGCGGGGCTAGCAAGTACATTTTAGTTAGTGAATTTGGGTTATTTTGTATTAAATCTTAGGCTTATTTCTTATAAAGACTGCAATGGTTTTACGTTAACATTCTCAAGTTTAGTTTGATAATAAAGACTTGACGCTGAGAGTTATTACTATTTTAGCCTAAGCCCCGCGAATTACCACTCATACAAGTAAACACAACTAGATGGCGTTGCGTGTCGATGTTAAAATTTTCTATTAATAGCCCTAAGCAATTCAAGAGTAAAATATAAAACCTTCAATAGGCATTAGGCATTCTGGCGTAGGAGTGGTTTTATTAAATAATTTTGTAAATTAATTAAAAGTCTGTCTTGGAAAGCAGCTGAGTAGTTTTTAACGAACGCCCCGAAGCGTATAATCTACTTAATCTCTAACCCTTGTATAACTTAAATAACTTCAATTTATTATCTAATATATAAAATTCTCGTGTCACAATATTCAAAGTCAGTCAAAAATCATTTATTCATGTAGGTAACAATGTTATGAACGTTAAAAAAGAAATATACATTAAATGCTTCTAATTTTACATTTGCTGCCAGTTCTCAATACAAGGACGTAGAACCTAAGAGAAGAACTGGCAATAAAGTCTTCGCCACTTTTTAATCGCCAAGTTTTTTGTTTTACACAACGTTGCAAGGAGCTACCATTACACCATGTTCCATACTCGTTCGTTCCCATACTCCTCCGAAACGCCTAGACCGATTCTTATGAAATTTTTTATACATATTCAATAAGTCTGAGAATCGGCTACTATCTATCTTTCAAACCCCTAATGATAAGGGGTGACCAGCCCAAACAATTTTTTTAAATTTTAGAATTCATTTATTTATTTTATTTTTCACATGATACAGTATACAAAAATACATATAACCCTATTTTTTATAATAGTAGATAGTTATTTTTATTGAGCTAAAAAATTGTTTCCTAGAAATAATATACACGGCAAAACAACGTTTGCCGGGTCAGCTAGTATATATATATATATATATATATATATATATATAGTATGTGCCTCGGAGGACATCAAGTCGGCGACACGCCCATTGTTGTTTGAGAGTAATGGAAATGAGTGCACTTGCACTGCACGCAAATGACCAATCTCACTTGAGAATTGGCATTTGAATACGCTATGGAGTATAGATCTCATGGTTTTAGGACCAAGAAAGAACTTTGGCGTTGTAATTATGTTACAGAAGATTCTGAATTTGGTACCAGTTGGCCGCAAGACACTTGATATTTTAGAAACGAATAAATCCTAAGGAGCTGTTGCCGGGATAGAAACAACAAATGTTTTGCCTAAATATCGATCAGACAAGGAGGGAACCAGCGTTAGCTTCAGGGGGTAACCTCACCGAAAATCATACCAAATGTTATTCAGTTAATTTAAAAAATTTAGTTGTTACCCGATCAAGCAGCATACCCATGGCTTCGTTAGGACACTGATAAGAGATCCAGGGTGGTTTGGGTTATCACCAACGATTTTTTTTAATAAATTAACTAACTCCCGTCTCCTACTGAATTTTACAATTGAACCCTGCCGATACTGATGAAATCTAATTTTAATAATGTCCGTACTCTCGTGGATATAAAATTGGTACTGAGATACGCTCGCAGGTTGCTTTATTACGTAATAGCCCTCGCCTTGATACCCTCCTCCCGCACCCCACGCCCCTCAAGATTACGTAATCTGACCCTTCGAAGGGTCTATCCCCAATCAGTCAAGTTTAATATTTCGATCGCACTATTACGTCTTATAACTGGGAAAAAGTTGATGGTAGTCTGACACCATCTTGTAGGACTTACTCTCTACTTGTTAATGCAATAACTACAGATATTGATAGATCTAAATCGCTGGGCTTCGTCGTTAGTTGGCATCTGGGTTGATTATCAGAGTGTCCGAATCCTGCAAATTTTGTAAGTCAATCGCTGAAATCTTTATTGGTTTTACAGAGTAGAGAGGCAGTTGACGCTAAATATCGATACCAGTATAGTGTACAATGTGAAACATTCTGTAAAGCTCAAGAGGCTTAGCTTAGTAACCAAAGAGTTTATGTCCCAATGACCAAATTGGACATTGGCACAATTGGTCATTGGGACATAAACTCTTATACCCTAGAACGTTACATATTTATTTGTTAGGGAGACGGAACGGTGAAAGCATTTAATGCACATTACTTGCACGGCATTAAATTTTTAAGAGATTAAAACAAAAACTGTATGATTTAAAATTGCCATTGGTAAGACGTATTTAAAATTTAAAACGATACGCCTTGTGTGCAAAACTTTTTAGGTAATCACACCATACAAACGTATTCCCCCAATTTCCACATCGGATTTTAAATGTATGACATTTTTTGTATAAGAGTCATCGCGCGGACTATGCTTATCAAAACTATAAAAATAGTGATATAACGATTTAATTTTACTATATTTCTACAATAACATGTTTTCACCTACTTATTAATATATCGACGTAGGAAAGCATATTTGCTGTAAGTAGACAAAATACCTAAAGTGACTTTTTCCTGCCATTAGAATCAAAAAAAGCCGCATCGAATGACCTGGGTCCTGTGTCTCTACGATGAAAAAAAAATTACATACGCCGTTGAAAACGCCCGTACTTATATTATTTTTAGCAAGATTAAATGCTGTATGTAGACCAAAATCTAGTCATTTCAGACATTTTGCACTTACAGCAAAAGAAAATCTGCATTTTTTTCTTTACAAATACTTACTTCTTCCCATTTAAAAACTTAACGCTACTTACAGCATTTCAGCGGCGTGTGATTTTTACATTCGTTTACTTACAGCAAGTTTAGGGAACCTACAGTTTTGGTTTTTTTTTTACCATTTACGACATTTTATTTCAACCAAACATTACATTACCAAATGACCCACTGCATTTCTAGATCTAATCATAATTATAAACTAATCTTACATCTTGAATTGCAATTAAAAGTACCCAAATACATAAATTTCCTGCATACAGCATATTTACCGCCTGTAAATTGATAATATTTCCGTGCGTACATTTTTCTTCCTTAGTTACAGCGTTTTAAAGGTTTGTGATTTAAAAAACTGTTTGCTGTAACTAGCCAAACACGTACTTATAGTAACTTTGGATAAAAAGTTTACATTGCAAATGGTGACTGGCAGTTAAATAAATATATGTTTCAAAAATGGTAGCAATATCATGGATAGGTCAGACACTATTAATTTTTTTCCGAAATTAATAAAGTTTTTTGGCTCTGGTGAACAATTGCAATATGTCTACTTACAGCAAATGTGCTTTCCTACGTCGATATACAGACAGACGTCGTTGAATAGCCAATCAATAAAAATTTCACAACGAAGAGGGGCTAAATATGACTGGCAATGTAGAGTAAACAATAAATGTTAATAGACATTATCGTTATATAAACGTAATCATCGTGGCATCTCGAAAAAGAGTTGCCAATATACGAAACCACTGGCTGGCTGGAGCACTTGAAGATTGTCATTGGAAATGAAGTAATATCGTTTGCATTAAGATATTTAAGAATCAGGTTGATTGCCCCGACCTTCCAACTAAATGTAAATTTCGTAATACCTCTAGATACCCGAGGCATTCCATCGTCCCATTTGTCTCTCTCCAAGACTCACCGATATCCAGATTGAGCATTTTGATAAACGAGCTAGGTATATCCATAGTTGCTCTTACACTTCGAAATCAATTTTCCTTTAGTTTTTTTTCCTTCGTGTTTGTTTACCTGTTTTATTTTTAAATTTGAGTGCTGAGCGTTGGCAAGGGTTTGTAAATAAATAAATATAATATTTTTGACACGTTGCATGTAACAGTAACCGAAATTGCTAGAGCTTACGTGGCATCAGTGGATTGCCTCAACGTCAACTCGTGATAAAGTGGTTTGGTTACTAAATTTCTACTATAATATTTATATATACGTAGTAGAAGTATAGTACTACTGCTAATATATTAGTTATTTTACCCTTTTTATACTTCTTATAGTCTTATTAGTTTTTTGTGTTCGGGCTAAACATTTTTAGAAATCTCCCAACTAGCGTCTAGACTGATCCTATTATTTCTAATTTGTAAGCGCAACTGTCAAACCTGTCAAAAGACCCTCGCTTGACCTTGTCTAACGGTCGAGGCTTTGTTATCAAACGTGAAAGGGAATAAGGGATGAACACGTGT